TCCGTATCGTTTGAAATCGCTGCTAGAACAAACCTAATAAATAACTTGTACTACTTTACTCAAGCATATACAAATTATACTTTATCATAAAAAGAAAATTTACACAATGGGACAGGTGAAAAAGGAGGTCAGCTACGATATATCCCTTAAAGAGTTGGTTAAAAGCGAGCCTACTGATAATGATATTGAAACATGTAAAACATGTCTCAAGGATCACATAACTTCCACTCACATCTGTCGGGAGCAAAACATTGTTATGACCAGTTAAGAAGCCTACATCCCTTTATTTCCACACTCCAAATTTCATTATTATAAGTATACCCGTTCAAAAGATACGAGGGGGGGAGAGGACTTTTGACTAGCACTGTATATGCCAGATTTCTTCATTCTGTCACGTCTAGGTTTTGCATTAAATATGATTTTACCTAAATTATTATTACTTATGAAAGATGTTATTATGTTGAATTTGGAAAAGTAATTTTGAATATTAACTGAAAGTTTACCTGAGTAATTAATGCTGCTATATCTATATGTATTCTGTTCTTTCATGTGTAGGTACAGTTCTCCCATAATAGTTTTATGGGTTTTACCTGAAATAATATTTTCAATTAAGAACACAAGTACCTGATTTCCTGATTATTGACCGCTATTTGTTTGATGACTTTCAATTCATTCTGAAAATTCTCTTCAGTTAAAGGGATTGTGAATGCTCTGTGTATCATGGATCTAAAAGCTGCTAATTTATGTGAGGTTGGACTGAAAGAGTCGAAGATGATCGTGCAATCTGTGAATGTATTCTTTCGATAGATATTAAATTGAAAACCGTTGTTAATTTTTAAAATGTTCAAATCCAAGAAGTTAAGTTCATTGTTTTGTTCTATTTCCACAGTGAATTCAATTTTTCTGTGTAAACTATTAAGGAAGTTCAAAAATTGGCTAATTTGTCTGGCAGAACCATCAAAGCCCACTAGTATGTCATCAACGTATCTGTACCAAAAAACGATATGTTTCTGAGACAGGGGGTTGTTGAGGATGAGGGTATTTTCTGGTCTGTCCATGAAGATATCTGCTAGTATGGGGCTTAATGGTGAGACCATAGGGAGACCTGAGTTTTGTGAATAAAAGTTATTGTTGAATTTGAAAAAACGTTTTGTGTCAGACATGTATTTGAGAGATTGCAGAATTCGTAGGTTATATACGGGTTAGTATTACATTTAACTAGTATGTCTTTTACTAGAGGGAGGCATTCATTTGTTGGAACGCTAGGAAACATGTTTTTACGTCAATAGATATTAGTTTTATATCATTTTTGATATTCATATTGGACAACTTATCAGCTAGGTCTACTGAATTTAAAACCGTATTGGATGGAGTGAATTGTGTGAGGTCTCTGTATCAAAGTGAATCTCTTAGTATAAAAATATTCATACCGGTGAAAATACATTTCAGTGTAAAGTTTGCTCAGTCTTTCTGATACAGAAATACCTTGAAATTGTATGAGAACATTCATATATCTATTCAAAGTCACTCAGTCCAAAGGGTAATTTGAAAATACATGAAAAACTTCATACAGGCAAAAAACCATCTGTTCTGAATAATTCATTTCAAGAAGTGCTTTGAAATTGCATGAAAAAACTTTTACTGACGAAAAACCACTTCTTTTCTATTTATTTCAGTGATTGTAGTGATTTGAAAAGATACGAAAAAGTTCATACTTGGTCATTCATTCAAAATACTAGGTATAGGCGTAAACTCAAAGTGAGCGGGTTTATTCGACCCTCTACTGCAACCCGCTAAGATTTATTGTGGCTCACATGCTCGAATAATTCTTGAGACCAACTAAAGCTGTCAAGACACAGCCTGGCAGGGAGCACAGATCCGGGGAAAATTGAAAAGTTTAAGTATTCCTGTGACTTGTAATTTTCAATATTGGGTAATTAAAAAAAATATGAATAAATACACAATTCCTAACGACGGGTAATATTGTTTGCAGACCCATTCAAGTGAAATGGTGGTAACATTGCTATTGTGATTCTCAATGTATCCAAAAGATGTCGCATCAAAGAACCTGATGATTGTACAAACCACCGACATAACCTATAATTAAGGTTATGTCGATGGTACAAACTAACACTTGTGACCAAAATATCGCTACAGAGGTTAACTGATTTTACATGTGGTTAATAAGCAATGCAGACTACGAGGACCCAATTGACGATATCAGATAAGAATTTCATTGAAAAATGGGTGTACATGTTTTGGGCGTTTCATTATTGGTAACACTGAAATTTAAACAACTGATATGAGTTTGGTAAAATTCAGAGACTATACAGGTGGATGTTTATATCTTGATTGAAGCATTCGCTTGGGATTACGATCCTTTTGTTCAGTTGAACTTGGTGGACGGCGGATATATTATTTCCAGAAAAGGGATATAAAAAAGTTATTGCAATGTTGCAACAGCAACTGTTCCTCACGTATGTGCGGTAGCAATTTGAACTCCTGAGCAATGGTAAAACCTTGGATGTAAACGCCACATCACGTGAATGACAATGAGATCAATTTTTTTCCTAGCGTTTGGATTGTTAAAAACTGATGTACCAGGTGAATTTCGTCATGCTCTCTCCGAACCTAGTCAAATGAATTAAATTTTTGGGGCAGTAATTTTTAATGTAATTTCGAAGCTGGAAATACTTACGGCCCGGTATGATAATATGGACTGGGCGTAACGTCACTTTCACATTCTACCTACAGATCACAGATCTTGGCCACAGCACCATGTGACGAATCAAATCCGAAAATTTTCAGATGGAAATATTTAACACCTAAAACATCGTGACGTATCTGACAGAAAGTGTATGAGTTACGTAAAAGCCAGGACGTTAATCTTGTCATCTCTTTTTAGTTGTGTAGTCAATGTTCTCTTCTCAAAAACTGGTCCATATTATGACGTCAATTATTGTACTTTGTTATTTGTTACTAAACGTACCCACATTTGCAAATTAAATATTATTAAACTTAGTATAGCTGTGGTATAATATAGCACAGAATCTGGAACTGTGTTTACTACAGTACAGTACAATTAGATAATGGCTGCTAGTGAATGTGGATGGTTAATCAAAAAGGAGGTGGAATCTGTGGAAGATAACCATATCTACTTTAGAGAAAGTGATGCATTCAAAATGAATATCCCAAAAAATGAATTTGAGCCAGAACAAATCAAAAGTGAAGAAGATGTCACTGAATTTGTTAATTATGAAATGAAATCTGAAAAATGCTTGGAAGAAGTAAAAGAAGGTTCATATTGTGAAGTGTGTGGAGGACGATTGCTTTATTCAACAGATTTCTTCAGCCCTGATAATTTGAAATTCAGTTGTATTTGTCAATGCCAGAATGAGTCTAATGTCATGCAATGTGAAAATACAATGGATGTGAAAACATTTGGCTTTGGCTCAGGTAACATATTTCTTTTAATGAAAGTTTGAGAAGAATGAACGCAAAATTTCAATGAATGCCATGAAAATATATTTTCAGTAATAAACTTTTCCAAATCCTTGGGCAAAACTATTTGAGCTATTAAACTGGGATTCTTACAATCCTTTCGAAATATTTATTCTTTGAAATAATTATTCAAAAGTAAGCCATAATCAAGGCTGTCAGATTTAATTTAGTGTCAACTGTGGTATTAGCCGAAAGTAGTTGATTTCCAGCAGAAATTTACCAGAACCTCGTGTGATAGGTATGTTGGGAGAGTCATCTCTCCCATTCAAATGAGGGAATGAGTGTCGTCAATGACATGAGTAGATTTAACTCAGTCGTGACATAAGTTGTAATATTACGAATTAATTGAGGGCGTCATCTTGTAATGTCACTCACATTGGTGCTAAAGAGGCAATAAACCAAGTGTCTTATTCTGAAACATTGATTTTCACCATTGTCTTATGTAAATTTCCATTTTGTTGTAATTCAATGTTTATATGGAAGTAGCTGTTTCAAGAGGGCTTTTTCTTTCAGTTTGTATCTGAAAGTTACATCTTTGGATGATCTACATGTCTTTGTTTATTATGTAATTAATTCTTTGTAGGCTTCTCACATTTTTTTTTATAAATTCGGTTCTACTTGTTTCCTTAACATACAAGTAATTTCTGTAAAACACCACTTGTGACTCCATGAATAAATATTATTATCATAAGAAAAACTTTATATCTGAGTGGTGGAAGTTGTTCTTTTCTCTTCATAAAACAATTTTTTTGCAGATTTTGGAACGTCTGTATTTGAAACGCAGGAAGAAAAAATGGCTGGGAAGGAAAAGGATTTAATCAATGGAAATGTGTTATTAACTTCTTGTGAGAAAAAATATACTGTTGAAGGTGTACATTTTGCTGAACACGAAATGTCATGTAAGACGGAGGAGATTAATGAAATATTAGGCTCGGGATCCAACTTGAATTCATTTGCCGAGAGTAGATTTCATGAGAAAACTGGAGGTTGTTCAAAAAATTTGAACGGAAGAACTGATGTGGAATATTTTGAAAAGAATCATACAGAGAAGATACGACTTCATCAGTGTCAATTTTGCTCCAAGTCATTCAACCACAGATGTTGGTTGAAGAAGCATGAAAAAATTCATAGCGGGCAAAAACCATTTCAGTGTAACATCTGCTCAAAGTCATTCAGTGAAAGGGGTAATTTGAACATACACGAAAAAATTCATACTGGCGAAAAACCATTTCACTGTAAAATCTGTTCGAAATCATTCAATAACAGCAGTAATTTGAAAAAACATGAAAAAATTCATTCTGCTGATAAATCATTTAAACCATTTCAGTGTAACATCTGTTCCAAATCATTCAGTCATTCTGATATTTTGAAAAGACATAAAATATTTCATACTGGCGAAAAACAGTTTCAGTGTAAAATCTGCTCTAAATCATTCATTCAAGGAAGTGATTTGAAAAAACATGAAAAAATTCACTCTGGCGAAAAACTGTTTCAGTGTAAAATTTGCTCTAAATCATTCATTACAAATCACGATCTGAAAAGACATGAAAAAATCCATACAGGCGAAAAACCGTTTCGGTGTAACATCTGCTCCAAATCATTCAGTATCTGTGGTAATTTGAAAACACATGAAAAAATTCATACAGGCGAAAAACCATTTCGGTGTAACATCTGCTTCAAATCATTCAGTCTCTGTGGTAATTTGAAAACACATGAAAAAATTCATACAGCTGAAAAACCGTTTCAGTGTAACATCTGCTCTAAAACTTTCAGTCAAAAAATTCATTTGAAAAAGCATGAAAAACTGCATACTGATAAAAAACAGTGTTAAATCTGCTGCAAATGATTTTTTTCATGAAAGTTATAGAAAGTTGCATGAAAAATTATTTTAGATCCTTCAGCAGCATATAGAGTTTTTTATGTTATTTGTGCATGAAATGGAGAACATTATATTTCAAATAAACGACAAAATATCGCAGTGGCTTGTCTTTTTATCATAAATGTACCTCACTACTCATAATGACATTGTGTCATATGACATGGAACATAAAAATCATAGAACTCGACACATATTTAAGACTGATAGATGGTGATACTTTGGTGTTAATGATATCTCAGAACCTGTGTCAATTAAATATTTTATTTTGGACTCGGGATCGAAAATTAGCAGACGACTTTCATTTGGACCATTTTCGCTTGTCATTAACGACTGGCCTACAGGTTTTCCGAAGATATTTTTACGAAAGTACAAGGTTGGATACATTTTTTAGCTGAATTTTTTAAGCGTCTGTGGTAATAACATAGCTCATCATTAGAGTTTGAATCTTGGAATTTTGATTAAGCCCTGGATTTTGATCTGAATCTTGATCTCGACCTAGACCATTCTTCAAAAACTGGGCTGCATCTTCTGGAAATAGATTCTATAAGTTCTGATTCCTCCGTGAGCTGAAAATCCATAATGAAAAACTAATCAATACAGTTTATTATATGATTTTCACTATAAAGGGTGAACTGTTTGGTAAACTGTTCACTAGATTCTCAGCATGAGCGATAAATGACAAGTCCAACTTATTCAAACTTATGTTTTTTGGCTACACCCTTTGTGTACTTTTTCTCAGTTTTCATGATATTCCAAATAATTTTTCTGACATTTTCAAAATTTTTAATTTTACTTTCATTAAAAGTTTTACTTGAGTACGTTAACATTTTATTATATACATTTTTACCAAGTATATATGCAACTTTGTTATTTTCGGTCGGGTGGTTTTCATAAAAGTCATATAGAAACAATACTTGCTCTCTAGCTCTATAAATTTCCGGTGTTACCCAGTTTGTTTTGTTAGTTTTGTATTGCCCTATCAAAGTAAAAGGAAAGGAGTTGTTAAAATGTTAGCAGTTTTTTCAACAAACACATTACACCATTTTTCAATTGTATTTTTTAAACTACTTTTAAAGACGTTTTTGAATGAAATTTTTTTATTAATTCTTTTTTATATTTTCCAAACATCTCCTAGCAACACATAGCATACTGCATTTGTAGGAAATTGTAGGGCACTACATGACGAATCAATTCTGAAAATTTTCAGATAGAAATATGTAACACGTAAAACACCGTGACGTGACTGACAGTAAGTGTATGAGTGACGTAAATGCCAGGACGTTAATCTTGTCATCTTTTTTTAGTTGTGGAGTCAATGTTCTCTCCTCAAAAGCTAGTCCATATTATTACGTCAATTATTGTACTTACTATACTAAACCACAGGATATGCTGTGACTAAACATACCGACATTAGCAAATTAAATATTATTAATTATAGCCTATAGCATAGAATCTGGAACTGTGCCTACAGTACAATTAAATAATGGCTGCTAGTGAATATGGAAGGTTAATCAAAAAGGAGGTGGAATCTGTGGATGATGATAACCATATCTACTTTGGAGAAAGTGATGCATTCAAAATGAGTATCCCAAAAAATGAATTTGAGCCAGAACAAATCAAAAGTGAAGAAGATGTCACTGAATTTGTTAATTATGAAATGAAATCTGAAAAATGCTTGGAAGAAGTAAAAGAAGGCTCATATTGTGAAATGTGTGGAGGACGATTGCTTTATTCAACAGATTTCTTCAGCCCTGATAATTTGAAATTCAGTTGTAATTGTCAATACCAGAATGAGTCTAATGCCATGCAACGTGAAAATACAATGGATGTGAAACCATTTAGCTTTGGCTCAGGTAACATGTTTCTTTTAATGAAAGTTTGAGAAGAATGAACGCAAAATTTCAATGAATGCCATATAAATATATTTTCAGCAATAAACTTTTCCAAATTCTTGGGGAAAACTATTTGAGCTATCAAACTGGGGTTCTTACAAACCTTTCAATATATTTATTCCTTGAAATAATTATTAAAAAGTAAGCCATAATCAAGGCTGTCAGATTTAATTTATTGTCAATTGTGGCATTAGCCGAAAAAGTAGATGATTTCCAGCAGAAATTCACCAGAACCTAGTGTGGTAGGTATGTTGGCAGAGTCATCTCCCCCATTCAAATGAGTGAATGAATATCGTCAATGACATGAGTAGATTTAACTCAGTGGTGACATAAGTCGTAATGTTATGAATTAATTGAGGGCTTCATCTTGTAATGTCACCCACATTGGTACTGAACAGATAATAAGCCAAGTGTCTTATTCTGAAACATCGATGTCCGCCCTTGAAGATTACAGTGTTTTATGTAAATGAAATTTCACCTCTTTCATATACTATATTGTGTAACAATCCTGTGAATAATATCTGATTCAATTCTACAATTAATGAACTGAATAGGAAAAAGGTTTTTTTGTAATGTTCAATGTTTATATGGAAGTAGCTGTTTCAAGAGAGCTTTTTCATCTAGTTTGTATTTGAAAGTTACTTCTTTGGATGATCTACACATCTTTGTTTATTATGGAATAAATTCTTTGTAGGCTCCTCACATTTTTTTTATAAATTCGGTTCTACTTGTTTCCTCAACATACAATTGATTTCTGTAACACACCACTAGTGACTTCATGAATAAATATTATTATCATAAGAAAAACTTTGTATCTGAGTGGTGGAAGTTGTTCTCTCTTCATGAAACTATTTTTTTGTGCAGATTTTGGAACGTCTGTATTTGAAACGGAGGAAGAAAAAATCGCTGGAAAGGAGAAGGATTTAATCAATGGAAATGTGTCATTAACGTCTTGTGAAAAAGAATTTACTGTTGAAGGTGACCATTTAGCTGAACACGAAATGTCATGTAAGACGGAGGAGATTAATGAAATATTAGGCTCGGGATACAATTTGAATTCATTTGCCGAGAATAGATTTCATGGGGAAACTGGAGTTTGTTCAAAAAATTTGAATGGAACAACTGATGTGGGATCTGTTGAAAAGAATCATACAGAGAAGATACGACTTCATCAGTGTCAATTTTGCTCCAAGTCATTCAACCACAGATGCAGGTTGAAGAAGCATGAAAAAATTCATAGCGGGCAAAAACCATTTCAATGTAACGTCTGCTCAAAGTCATTCAGTGAAAGGGGTAATTTGAAAATACACGAAAAAATTCATACTGGCGAAAAACCATTTCACTGTAAAATCTGTTTGAAATCTTTCAGTCAAAGTGGCAATTTGAAAAAACATGAAAAAACTCATATTGGTGAGAAACCACTTAATCCATTTCAGTGTAACATCTGCTCCAAATCATTCAGACTCTGGGGTATTTTGAAAAGACATAAAAAATGTCATACAGGAGAAAAACTGTTTCAGTGTAAAATCTGCTCTAAATCATTTCGTCTATGTAGTAATTTGAAACAACATGAAAAAATTCACTCTGGCGAAAAACTGTTTCACTGTAAAATCTGCTCCAAATCATTCATTAAAAGTCACGATTTGAAAAGACACGAAACAATTCATACAGGTGAGAAATCGTTTCAGTGTAAAATCTGCTCCAAATCATTCAGTCTCTGTGGTAATTTGAAAAGACATGTAAAAATTCATACAGCTGAAAAACCGTTCCAGTGTAACATATGCTCTAAATCTTTCATTCAAAAAATTCATTTGAAAACACATGAAAAAATTCATACTGGTGTAAAACCGTTTCAGGGTTAAATCTGCTCCATAACTTTTTTTTCAAAAAAATTGCAAATGGCATGAAAAAATTCATAAAGTCATTCATTGAGAGACGTAACTTGAAATTGAATAAACAAATTCATACTGGCGAAAAATCATTCCAGTGTAAAAACAAGAAAAAATTCATACTGCTCAAAGTCATTCACTCAAAGTAGGTTATTGACAATTTAAAATCGTATCTGTCGGATATACTTCAATTTCCAGCGTGGTATTAGCCAAGAAAGTAGTTGTATTCTGGCAGGCACTTATCAGAATCCACTGTGTAGGTACTTTGGGAGAGATGAATGTTTCGAGATTTAATTTCGAAATGTATATTTTTCAAAATTGATTACTAGTTTATTTGATGATAAATATGCATAATAGCAGTTCTGGAAAAAAGTGCAATGTACGTAAAAAAAATGAATTCTGAATTATTTGTTAAGTCAAGAAGAGTATTTTGACTAACGCAGTTGCAATGTTTGGAGATTGTAACCAAAGATTTATGTAATCTTTGTGAGTGACATTATATCTTAAAATTATGTATCGGAATTATAAATTACACTGTACTTATAGGTTTGTGGTGAAATTGACATGTTTTATGTATTCAGAAATACATTCTGTAAATATATTTTTTTTAACATAAAATATTAGTCGCAGCATATTTGATTAAAATTTTGACACATTACTATACCGGTGACCTTCGTAGAACATTTGTCCTATCCTAACCACAATAAAAATGTTATGCAGTATCCAGAATTAAAATGAAGAACAGAGAAACTAATTTGAGACAATAAATCATTACATATAACTTTTCCTTCAAATAAGTCATAAATATGTTGAGTCATTTTTCATCAGTCGACTGTTTTGTATGTCTTCCGTGTATTTCGAGGTTTCCTGGTGTATAAAAGCGCAATTTGTAACCTAAAGTGCATCTGAATGATCTACAAGTCCAAGGTTCTCAATGACATACCCCAAGGTACTGTCCTTGGTCCATTATTGTTTTCTATATATATGAATGATCTCTTCTCAATTAAAATAGCTGGTCAGTTATTTTATATGCTGCCGATACGTGGGATGAGCTGAAAAGAAAAACAGAAAAAGATCTTACTATATCAGCGATTAGTTTGAACATAAAAAACTGACTATAAATTACAACAAAACTCATTTCATTCCTTTCACGAGCTACAAGTGTCATCTTCCAACTCTCGATTCACACATGCGATGGAATTGCCACATAAACCAAGTAACGAAAACTATCAGACTCTTATTATTCAAATACCTGAAGAAAATTCTAGATATAACTCACCTGGGGCGCAGTAGCATCTGTACATCTGAAAAAACTGGAAGTTCTTCAAAGGAAGATATTAAAAATAATTTGTAACAAAAAAATACATACCCAACAAATGATTTATTCAATGTAACAAAAATTTTAGAAGTTCGGAAAAAATATGTGCATAAATATATACCTACAAAAATAAACATATTCTGCAACAAACAGAACACAGCTATGATACTCGCAGCAAAACTCAAAATATAGTACAAACAGTACCGTGTGATCTTCACTAAACGCGTGTTCCGCTACTGCCGATTTTTCTATTTGACCTAATCTACAGAAAAATCGGTAGTAGCGGATCACGCGTTTAGTGAAGGAGATCATACGAAACTGTTTGAAGATGTGAAACTACTTGCACCCGATCATGGATACTGTAAGAAATGGGAAAAACTTGAGTGTAATACGAATGCAAAATATACTATTTATTAACTTTTCTGATACTAACTTGACAATTCAAAAATTAATTACAACGATTCTAAAAAGTATCTGTCATAACAACTCATTCACATGACAACCGTTCCGATGAAAGTCTGTATAGAGGACGAACAATTTTCATTTCCAACATTCTCCCACTTTTTGCAAATTAATTTGCAAAACAAAAAATTAGAATTTGAAACAGTTTGGACTCTTCACTCTTCTTCCACTTTTCGTTCTTCTTCTTTTTCCATTACTGGCTTCAGCTGCCAGGGCTATCCAGCCAGGAGTTCCAGGATCATGTTGCTACTACAGGTGGAGCCCACACTAAAGTGGATTATTCTGAACATTTTCTCTCTTCCTCCTGATTTCTTTTCTTCTTCTTCGGTATTTCTTTCAGTAGACTGATCTTCTTCATGTTTCCCGGACGTTGATAGTATTTCCTCATTTCGTTTAGATAACTTGCTGCTTTCATCTGTAGATAGTTCTAAGGGAATTTATCTTTGTAGTGGACGAATTAGTTCGCCTTTATTCGTTCTACTCTTGTTATATTATCTCTACTTGGGAAAATCTCCAAAATTCTTGCTAATGGCCAATCCATCCTCTTCTTATTATCTACTTCTAGCAATACAACATCACCCACTTGAATAGATGGCTGTTCTCGCGAACCCGAATTCACTAAATCTTCCAGATATTCATTCCTGAAGCGTATTCTCTAGTTTTCTCTCAATCGTTGAAGGTATCTCTGCCTTTTTATTAAATATTTTTTATCGATTGTATCTAAATCAGGTATTTCATTGCTCGACAGCTTTGTCGTAATTAGCTCCTGACGGTGGATAGCTTTCGACCAATTCTTGCGCCTTTGAATCTGGTTCCATTGATTGCAATAAGTATTGGAACTTATCTTCTTTGGCAATTTCTTCATCAACATGACTCTTATTGAACTGGCCCCCGAAGCCTATCCCATTCTTAACCTCGTCATTAAATTTCTTCAGTTCCAACCTAGGAAGTTGAAAATTCCGCTTTGGTGCTAATTCTTCGTTAATACTTGATGAACCTGTCGACTTATTCTGTTCGTTCAGTACGAAATAAGCTTTCGACTTGCTTCTGATGTACTCGGTACGGTAATATTCTGACGATGATAACTCCTCTTCAATTTCTTCATCGCCGGCGTTTGCTCCGACTAGTTTTGGTAAAATTTGTTCATCTAACGCAATATAACCCTTTGGCCCCTATCTTCCATTTGATTCAATAACGCTGCAAGGTCTCCTTTCTGCAATCCAACTTCGCTCAGAATAATTTTGAGATCTTGCACGTCCTTTTCAAGCATTCGACTGAGGTAAACCCTTATCTTTTTGTATCAAATCTCCCATTGTATGTCCTGTCACGGTCGCCATTAATGTAAGAAATGGGAAAAACTTGGTGTAATACGAATACAAAATTACTATTTATCAACTTTTCTGATAACAACTTAATTTATAACAATAATATAATTAATAATAATAATTTTCTTCTCCTGATGATGCTAACTTTGTTGGCGAAACGCGCGTCGAGTGCAAAAATATCAGTTTGGTGTTAGGGCACTTGATATCGAAAAAAGTTATTCTATGATAATAACTTGACAATTCAAAAATTAATTACAACGATTCTAAAAAGTCTCTGTCATAACAACGCATTCACACGACAACCGTTCCGATGAAAGTCTGTATAGAGGACGAACAATTTTCATTTCCAACAGATACCATAGTCGGCTTGTACAGGAAGCCATAGAAATCCATAAAAATACAGAAAACTACAACAGAAAAGAGGAGGCAATAACGCTTAACCGGATTTGGAATCCCATACTAAAAGTTACTAAGGTGGCAGCAGTGCAACGCAATGTAACACGTAATAACATTTTGGCCAATAACAACGCATCAACTAGAAAGGCGGGCTACCTGTGTCACCAGTGCTTGTTTAACGTGGCGATATATGTAAGTAAGCAATCCTGTATGTCCATAATCGTTGTCCAAGGGGTAAGGGAGCCAGGCTCCAACTTGATTGAAATCAAAACGACGTGCAGGTAAATCACGAGTCATCGGTGAATCATTAGGAGGAAGACCTCTGAAGAAGCCAGCTACTCGTGCTGTCGAAACGTTAGGATACAGTTCCAGACCACGACGGCCTTCAAACCCGAACGAAGATCATAACACGATAACGAAGGTGTCGTATCCACGTATCGTAACCAAATAATTGGTTTGAAATCAAAAGCGTCGATTGCCTTCTCAAATTTCTCCATGAAGAACAGTTCCACCAGCATTAACATTAAAATATTCAAGTAGGTTAACTAACTGCTCTCGTGAAAAATTTTGAAGTAACTTAACCATGGTTTTATCAAACTATTCACTTCTTGAGGGTCACCAGTTGTAGTTTTCAAACTACTTTTGAAGACGTTTTTTAATGAAGTTTTTTATTGATTCTTTTTTAAATTTTCTAAACAAAAGATCTCCTAGCAACACTTAGCATTGTGCATTTGAAGGAAATTGTAGGGCATTACTTGACGAATCAAATCCAAAAATTTTCAGATGGAAATATGTAACACGTAGAACATCGTGACGCATCTGACAGTAAGTGTATGAGTGACGTAAATGCCAAGACGTTAATCTTGTTATCTTTTTTTAGTTGTGGAGTCAATGTTCTCTCCTCAAAGGCTGGTCCAAATTATAACGTCAATAATGGTACTTTGTTACTGAACATACCGACATTTGCAAATTAAATATTATTAATCGTAGTATATATAGCACAGAATCTGGAACTGTACTTACAGTACAGTACAGTACAATTAGATGATGGCTGCTAGTGAATGTGGAAGGTTAATCAAAAAGGAGGTGGAATCTGTGGATAATGATAACCATATCTACTTTGGAGAAAGTGATGCATTCAAAATGAATATCCCAAAAAATGAATTTGAGCCAGAACAAATCAAAAGTGAAGAAGATGTCACTGAATTTAATAATTATGAAATGAAATCTGAAAAATACTTGGATGAACTAAAAGAAGGCTCATATTGTGAGGTGTGTGGAGGACGTTTGCTTTATCCAACAGATTTCTTCAGCCCTGATGATTTGAAATTCAGTTGTATTTGTCAATGCCAGAATGAGTCTAATGTCATGCAATGTGAAAATACAATGTATGTGAAACCATTTGGCTTTGGCTCAGGTAACATGTTTCTTTTAATAAAAGTTTGAGAAGTGTGGACCCAAAATTTCAATGAATGCAATAAAAATATATTTTCAACAATACATTTTTCCAAATCCTTAGGGGAAACTATTTGAGTCAATAACTAATTAATAATTGTAAAATCTCAATATTCATTATTGGATGGAAAACTGGGGTTCTTACAAACCTTTCAATATATTTATTCCTTGAAATAATTATTGAAAAGTAAGCCATAATGGAGGCTGTCAGATTTAATTTAGTGTCAATTGTGGTATTAGCCGGGAAAGTAGTTGATTTCCGGCAAAGATTTACCAAAACCTTGTGTGGTTGCTGGGAGAGTCATCTCTCCCATTCAAATGAGCGAATGAATGTTTTCAATGACACGAGTAGATTTAACTCGGTCGTGACATAAGTCGTAATGTTATGAATTAATTGAGGGCTTCATCTTGTAATGTCACCCGCGGTGGTGCTAAAGAGGCAATAAACCAAGTGTCTTATTCTGAAACATTGATGACAATGTTTTATGTAAATGGAATTTTACCTCTTTCATATACTATATTGTGTAACAATCCTGTGAATAATATCTGATTAAATTCTATAACGAATGTTTGGAGTACAAATTGAATAGGAAAAAGTGTTTTTTTGCAATATTCAATGTTCATATAAAAGCAGTAGTTTCAAAAGTATTTCTTTCTTGTAATTCGTTGTTTATATGGATGTAGCTGATTCAAGAGGGCTTTTTCTTCTAGTTTGTATCTGAAAGTTACTTCTTAGGATGATCTACACATCTTTGTTTATTATGGAATACGTTTTCTTTTGAATTCATTTGCCGAGAGTAGATTTCATGAGAAAACTGGAGGTTGTTCAAAAAATTTGAACGGAAGAACTAATGTGGAATCTTTTGAAAAGAATCATAAAGAGAAGATACGACTTCATCAGTGTCAATTTTGTTCAAAGTCATTCAACCACAGATGTAGGATGAAGAAGCATGAAAAAATTCATAGCGGGCAAAAACCATTTCAATGTAACGTCTGCTCAAAGTCATTCAGTGAAAGGGGTAATTTGAAAATACACGAAAAAATTCATACTGGCGAAAAACCATTTCACTGTAAAATCTGTTTGAAATCATTTTCTAGAAGTGATCTATTCAAAAATCATGAAAAAATTCATACTGGTGAAAGGCCATTTCAGTGTAAAATCTGTTCTAAATCATTCAATGATGCTAGTAATTTGAGAAGACACAAAAAAATTCATTCATTCAGGTGTAATGCCTGCTCTAAATCATTCATTGAAAGCACCGATTTGAAAACACATGAAAAGATTCATGCTGACGAAAAACTATTTCAGTGTAAAATGTGCTGTAAATCATTCGTTCGAAGTAGTTATTTGAAATTGCATGAAAAAATGCATACTATCGAAAAAACGTTTCAGTGCGGAGTCTGTTCCATATCGTTTCGTAACTTTTGTAATTTGAAAAGCCATGAAAAAATTCATACAGGCGGGAAACTAGTTCAGTGTAAAATCTGCTCTAAATCATTCAGTCAATGTATGTGTGGTAAATCGAAAAGACATGAAAAAATTCATGCTGGCGAAAAACCAAGTGTGAAATTTGTTCTAGATCATTCAGTGGAAGTAGTGAGTTGAAGAAACAGGGAAAATTCATACTGGCAAAATCATTTTTCTGTAAAATCCACTCTGATTCATTCATCAAAGAAGTTTCTTTAATTTGCTTGAAAAAAAAATTGTACTGACAAAAAACTATTTCAGCTGACTGCGCCATTTGATTTTTGGTGTATATCATTTTTGTAATTTAGTTTCTATGTATTTTTTTATTCGGATTAAAGCTAACTCGTATTTCTGAATACTTTCTTATTTTACATTCATTTTCACAAACTCAACAAATTACAATTACAATGACTAATTATTAATTAGAAATGAAAAACTGAGGAATCACGACGAAATTTATACTGATGAAAGACCATTTCAATGTAAAATCTGCTCTCTAAGTCATTCATTCCGAGAAATAATTTGAAATTGCATGAAAAAATTCATAGTCATTTATTGAGAAACGTAACCCACCTCTAGATGGATCGTTGTGAGCGAAAGTAATGACGTCATGAGTGACGTTTTCGAGGCGAATACAACGACCGCGGTCGTTATGTGGAACGGCACAGGAGTATTTTGATCGTTGTGAACGCTTAGTGGAACGCACGGTATATATATATATGGAACTGCTAAACATCTGTTTCTTTTTGTTTCATCGGTGTTACCAATATCTGAGAAATCCTTCACATTGTGAGGATATTATACTCTTGTGAGTATTGGTTTTAATGTTGGGAAGGTTTTAATGTTGGGAATCCGAGGAAAATTAGTTTCTAATACCTACAATTATAACCCTTTCGAATTAAATAAAAAAGAAATAATGAATAATTATGTCTTTTATGGGATTTTCCTGATGGATTTTGTAGATGTGGGTAATCTTGGGAAATACAAAATTGGAAATAAAAATACGTCCTATTGGTAGATTCAATAAACCAAGAGAGAAGAAGACAGTTTTTTTATTTTGAATATTTCAATTTTTTTTAATATTTCAATATTTTCAATTATTAACAACCACAAATATTATTTGTTTATAAACTATCGTCTATAAACTATTGTCTATAAACTCTTCGGTCGAGGCGCTTTTCAGTAAGTTCTACACTTGACATGCTTGAATATATCCTAAATATGGAAAATATACTTATATATTTTCACTTTAAAATCAAGAGTTCCCTTTTTTTCCGTATTTCAAAAACTGTTATTTCATAAGCTTCATGTATTTATGAAAATGGTCTTTTTTCTGTTTCATTTATTAAGATTCAAAATCATTGATGTTTTCATAATAAATTTGATAAGACTTCGAAAAAAATTGCCGTGTGAGGTTTTTGTGAGGAATTTCGAATGAAGGCCGGTGAAACGTGTGAGGATATTTCTCTGTCCTAGTGAGTATTTTGACAATTTCGTTTTGGTAACACTGTTTCTTATACGTTACACGATACGGTGCCTATGACACGCTTCATATTCGATTGAAAAGAAATACAGTGTGCTTTAGTATACACTGTATTTTTTGCTCATGGTTTTTGTATCCCCCTTCGTTGCATAATCTGCAGCTGAGGTCTCCGTTGTACAGCCCCATTTTATTCAGGTGTCCTCTAAGCGGACAATGACCGGTTAGTAACCCTGTAATTATTCTGAGCTGATCCCTGCTGTATTGAATGTTTTCATATTAATTTTGATGAAAAATATTTTCGAAAAAATCACAATGTGAGGCGGGTAAAATGAATGAGGATGTTTCTCTGTCCTAGTGAGTATTTTGACGATTCCGTTTTGGTAACACTGTTGCAAGACGATACAGCGTATACGCGTATTATAACACGCAACACGCCACATCATTTTCGATTGGAAAGAAATACTAAATACTCTAAAGGGTACACCATTCATTGATTGTACCTTTGTTTTATTCGTGTTTACCTTTACGGTGTATTAGCACAAGTATACAGTTAATTCTTTAGATTGTGAGAAAAGTTACCCAAAGATAAATAGTGACAAAGAAATATACATTGACCCGCCATCTTTCTTGAAAATTGAACTAGATAATGAGTACTGATAATTGTGGAAGACTAATTAAAGAGGAGGAGGAATGTAATGCAGTCGGAATGATTATCTCAAAGTATGAATCAGAGCCTAATCAAGTCAAAAGTGAAGATGTCATTGATGTTGTTAATCATGATTTGAAATGTGAAAGGTACTTGGAAGAAGTTAAGGAAGCCTCACATTGTGAGGTGTGTGGAGGAGGTTTGTTTAGTCCAACCGATTTCTTCAGCCCAGATCATTCGAAGTTCTGTTGTAACTGTCAATGCCAGAACAGAATGCAAGGCGAAGATATGACTCTGGATTTGAAACCACTTACTTCAGGTAACATTTATTTTACTAAAGGTTTGGGAGAGAGAGTCAAAAGTTATCACTCTAAGCGAGTGTCCTATACAATAACGGCATTAAAAGAATAGACAAACTATAATAGGGTCTGCTCACGAGAGAATTTTCTTGTGTATTTTCTAAAGCCTTCAATACTTAAGTGGCTCTCTCTAGAATGAGACGCCATTATAGAAAATTGACTCATTTACTAAGGAAAAGGTAATTTTAAGTTATTTTTAAATTTTTGGCGAGTATTATGACAAGAAGAAATATTTTCAAATTTTGAACTATGTTTGTGTATAAGACACACTGTTTCCATAACGAAAAGAGCCACAACTCTCAATATTTTTTTCTCTTAGTTTGAACACATATCTATTGGCTCTCTTTTGCATTTTAAGTACCGAATCTAGCAGACCGGAGGTACATACCCCCCAGAAAGGTATGGCATATCTCAGTTGAGATTCAATTGATAGCATAATATGTGTTCAAAGCTGAGACAGTAATAAGCTCCCTTGAAAATAATTCTTATTGCAATTTGAATGAATGGTTGCTAATTTTTCTAAGATGTTATAAATATATTAAAGGTTTGGGAAGAGACTTATTATCAATACGGGTCAAAATATTTGTAAATGTTGAATTCTGAGGCAAATCAACTAAAAAATCTTATTTCTCTTGGATTTTTTGTTTTGAAAATGATACGTTTCTCTTGACCTCTATCATAAATGTAACTGTGTACTGAATTAAATTGCTCTTATTCTTTATTCATGAAATTATTTTTTACAGATTTTGGAACCTCTCTTTTTAGAACCCAAGAAGAAACAATTGTTGTGAAGGAAAAAGAGATAATCAATGAAAATATGTCATCAATGTCAAGTGAGAAAGATTGTGCTATCGAAAGTGTTCGTGTTGTTGAACAAAAAATTTTACCTGAAACAGAGGAAATTACCGAAATACTTAGTTCTGGACACAATTCAAATTCGATTATAGATAGTAGAACTCATGAGGAAAATGAAGACCGGTCAAAAAATTTGAATGAAAGATCTGATGTGAAATGTGTTGAAAATAAGCGTACAGGGAAGATCCCACATATAATTTGCAAAAGTAGCTTAAAATTGGGTGAAAAAATTCTTACTAACAAAAAATCATTTCTGTGTAAAGTCTGTTCTAAATCATTCTCTCGGTATGTTAATTTGAAAAGTCATGAAAAAATTCATACAGACGAAAAACCGTTCCATTGTAAAAACTGCTCTAAATCATTCATTCGTTTTAGCGATTTGAAAGGACATGAAAGAACTCATACTGGCGAAAAACCGTTTCAGTGTAAAATCTGCTTAAAAACATTTCCTCGGTGTGATACTTTGAAAAACCATGAAAAAATTCACACTGGCGAAAGACAGTTTCAGTGTAAAATCTGCTCTAAATCATTTGTTGTGAATAGTGTATTGAAAAGTCATGAAAAAATCCATAAAGGCGAAAAACCGTTCCATTGTAAAATCTGCTCTAAATCATTCATTCGGTTTAGCGATTTGAAAGGACATGAAAGAACTCATACTGGCGAAAAACCGTTTCAGTGTAAAATCTGCTTTAAATCATTCCTTTGGTGTAATACTTTGAAAAACCATGAAAAAATTCACACTGGCGAAAGACAGTTTCAGTGTAAAATCTGCTCTAAATCATTTTTTTTAAGTAGTGTATTGAAAAAACATGAAAAAATTCACACTGGCATAAAACCGTTTCAGTGTAAAATCTGCTCTAAATCTTTCATTCAAAAATTTCATTTGAAACAACATGAAAAAATTCATTCTGGCGAAAAACCGTTTCAGTGTAAAATCTGCTCCAAATCTTTCATTCAAAAAAATCATTTGAAACTACATGAAAAAATTCATACTAGTGAAAAACTGTATCAGTGTAAAATCTGCTCTAAATCTTTTAGTCTGAATAGTAATTTGAAAAGACATGAAAAAGTTCATACTGGCGAAAGACCATTTCACTGTAAAATTTGCTCTAAATCATTCACATTGAAAAATTATTTGAAATTGCATGAAACAATTCACACTGACAAAAAATTGTTTCAGTGTAAAATCTGCTCCAAATCATTCAGTCGCAGTGATAAATTGAAAAGACATGATAAAATTCATACTGGTGAAAGACCATTTCTGTGTAAAATCTGCTCTAAATCATTCATTCAAAGTGATGATTTGAAAGTGCATGAAAGGATTCATACTGGCGAAAAACCATTTGAATGTAATATCTGTTCTAAATCATTCTATCGTTGTGGTACTTTGAATATACACAAAAAAATTCACACCTAATATGAACCGATCAATGTAATTTCTGCCCCAAATCATTCACATACTGTGGTACTTTGAAAACACATGAAAAAATGCATACTGCTGAAAAATCGTTCCAGTGTAACATCTGCTCCAAATCATTCACTCGGTGTGATACTTTGAAAAGGCATGAAAAGATTCATAGTGGTGAAAAACCATTTCACTGTAAAATATGTTCAAAATCATTTTCTAGAAATGATATATTCAAAAGACATGAACAAATTCATACTGGTGAGACTGCAAATGTAAGAACTAACTGATGTCAGAACTGCTCAAAGTCATTCACATGAAAGTTGAGAAATGAAAAACTTCATATTGGGAAGAAACCATTTCAGTCTAAAATAAATTATCCCCTGAAGATGCTAACTTGAATAAACGTCAAACAACTGCAAGACGAATCTCTGTTACGTATTTATTTACATATCTGCGTCTCCTTGCACTGAAAATTGGGAGAATGTTTACAATACAAACAATCCGCAGTAAACTTACCACTGTTTTATTGGCAAACTAAAAACTAACATATAATGCAATTTAAATTAAAAAAACCACCAATACATAATATAAAGAAAATCAAACCATGGATCACCTATGGAACAATTAAATCAATCAAACAAAGAGATCATCTTAAACATCAACTGATTAAAAAATACAAGATTTAGAGATCAAATATAAAAACCACAGAAATAGACTTTTATTGTTTATTGTATTCAGTAGAACAGGATTGTTCTGATAGAAAGAGTCTAACCATCTTTCGAGTTCTGCAACGAATGGTCTTCTATCAATAAATTGTCTTTCAATAGAGCACCTGGAACATCCTCTGGTAATTATAATGGTATAGAAAAAGATATCATACAACACTTGCAGAGTACACTATCAAAACGTGACTACTCGGCAAAGACAAACTGAACACTGAAATGTGAAATGCTATGTTTGTGACAACAGGTAAACATATATAGGTGACAGGTTTCGAACAATTGAACAACCTAAAAAGTAAAATTCCTTGGGATTCTTTATTTTTTATTCATATCAACTTTAATACTTCGACTTTGAATTATTCCAAAAAAGGCCTAGAAAATGTTATTCGATTTAGACTCGAAAATGTGTTGGTGGCAACACTGAATATGGGTACTAGGTACTATTGGGTACTGGAATCCTCCATTGGAAAGAAATATATTGTACTCTTAATGAGTGTTTACTTTTCATTAACCGTATTAGCACAAGGATACAATTCAGATTAATTCTTCAGATTGTGAGGAATAACGCAAAGGATAAGTAGTGACAAACAAATCCACCTTTTCCCGCCATCTTTCTTCAAAATTGAACTACATAATGACTACTGATAATTGTGGAAGACTAATTAAAAAAGAGGAGGAATGTAATGTAGTCCAAAGGATTATCACAAAGTATGAATCAGAGCCAAAACAAGTCAAAAGTGAAGATCTCATTGATATTGTTGATCATAATTTGAAATGTGAAAGGTATTCGGAAGAAGTAAAAGAAGCCTCACATTGTGAGGTGTGTGGAGGAGGTTTGCTTAGTCCAACTGATTTCTTCAGCCCTGATCATTCAAAATTCTGTTATAACTGCCAATGCCAGAACGGGGCTAATGCTATGCAAGGCGAAGATATGACTCTGGATTTGAAACAACTTACTTCAGGTAATATTCATTTTACTGAAGGTTTGAGAAGAAAGAACCAAAAATATCAATGGGTGCCAGAAAACATATATTTTCAAAAAAGTAGTAACAAACAAGTAACACCTTAGGTGAGATTTTCACAGAATAGTTTACGAAATCCGTCACATGTTTCACTGAATGTGTTTATTACACAGTGAATGCTACCTAGTATATGCTTCTTATATACACCACTGATTTAAATTCTAGTGTCTTTTCATATATTAACTAATATTTTCACATTCTAGGAACGGACTCATTCAATTGAAAATGTAATACTTTGAAAATACATGAAAAAATTCATACTGGTGAAAAACCGTTTCAGTGTAACATATGCCCCAAATCATTCAATTACTGTGATTCTTTGAAAAGACATAAAAATGATCATACTGGTGAAAAACAATTTCAGTGTGAAATCTGCTCCAAATCATTCATTCGTTGTAGTGATTTGAAAAGACATGAAATAATTCATACAGACGAAAAACCGTTTCGGTGTAACGTCTGCTCCAAATCATTCAATTACAGTAGTAATTTGAAAAGACATGAAAATATTCATACTGGTGAAAAACAATTTCAGTGTAAAATCTGCTCTAAATTATTCCGTCAATGTAGTTATTTGAAAAGACATGAAAAAACTCATACTGGTGAGAAACCGTTTCAGTGTAACATCTGCTCCAAATCATTCAATTACTGTGGTTCTTTGAAAAGGCATAAAAAAAATCATACTGGTGTAAAACCATTTCAGTGTAAAATCTGCTCCAGATCTTTTGTTCTAAAAAATAAGTGGAAATTGCATGAAAAAATTCATAGTCATGCATTCAACTTGAAGTTGAATGAATAAGTTCATACTGGCAAAAAGTAATTTCAGAGTTGAAAACACGAAAAAATTCATACTGCTCAAAGTAGTGTATTGAGAAATAAAAACATATCTGTCGGATTTATATTCAATGTCCAGCGTGGTATTAGCCAGGAAAGTATTTGTTTTGTGGCGGGCATTTACCAGATATATAAAAAAATTAATACTGAATCCTAATTATGTGATATNTAGTGATAAATCCACGTTGTATAAAAAAATAAATATATGTTTTTTTGAATAAAATATGTCCATCTTCTCATAATTCATCAAAATCTTAACACATTAATGTAACACGTGACCTTCGTATATTACCCACATCCCATTATCCAAATTGAAAAAATCTCGGATCTACTAGCTCAAGGGCACGACTGAAATGCCTTATATATAGGCCAGACTGGTCGTATTTTCAACCAGAGATTCGAGGAGCATTTGAGAAGTTACAGACTGAATAAACAAGATTTCAATCACGCCAATTATCTCATAGAAAACGCTCACAATTTCACACAAAATCCGGAAATTTCACACATTCAACTAAGAAGTCTAAAATTGAATGTATTGAAATCTATAGAAATGAAAAAATAACTTGCTCATAAAAATAACATTGTTCTGAATGATTGGATGAATTTCCTAAATGCACCTTGATACCTCTCTCTACTTGCCAATGCAACTTTTAGTATTTAAGGGGATGACATCATATACCTAGGTTAGTTTAAAGCTCGATCTGAAGATGACACAGTGTATCGAAACAACTGTTAGCGTTAAGTGTTAGTGTTGTGTAAATTGTGAAGTATTATTTTCACCCTACCCTGTAGAACACCCAACATTTGCAGAGGAGATTATATGTTTTATTTATTGCACGGGATCATCTCTCTTATAATAGTACAAGCATTAAATATAGTGAATATTCATATAGTTACAATTTTAAAATTGATTGAAAAATAGAAAAGCGAGGCCTCAAATAAACTCGTGCCCGTGAAAATGAGTAAAAGCAGTAAGATAAATGGAATTATAGATTATACAATTCAAAATACAGATATTAATGGCAAGAATAATATAAAAGATACATTTACCTAAATAATGAGAATCACATTGAGAATTTGGTGTGTAATCAATTTTTATGTCTCTCTCAGATGACATTTAAATTATTGGCCAAGCCAATATTTTTGACTTCTGGTAGAAGTCCATCATATCTCAAAGTTGAGTGCAGTTGATTTGTGAAGAATAAAAACTCATGGTCGTCTCCACAATTTATTTTTACGGTAAAACCATCAATCAGTACATGTTTCGAACCTATATAGGTCCATCATCAGCTAATTATTCACAATTCTACAGTAAAAGAAGAACAACCTGACAATAGTGTCACTGTTTTTCAAGANTAAAATATGGTTCAGTTTTCATTTCTATTTATTTTCACTTGTGAAAGGTAGAGGGAATTATAAAATCTATAATGTCCCAAGGGAGTTATGACCCTCTTTATTGATAGCGTAACTATGACGATATAAGCTTATAATATCCCGGTCAGACATAAACACGTTTTCTTCCGGATATCGATTATCCGACGTACAATTCGCAAAACAGCAATGCTTTCTTGGCATTATACTAGCACAAAATAATTTTTTATGTCAGATTGATGTTTTTAAACAATAAATTAATATTACGTAAATAACACTGTTTTACATGGGAATAGTTTATGTTTGTCCCTACTGCTAGTGCTGCCTCTCGTGACACATTTGCTGTACTATTCTCAGGAAAAAGGCTCATTCATATTACCATTGTATATATACAAAGATATCACTAATGAAACAAATGTCACAAATAACAATAGACCAATCGCTT